TGATAAGTTTCTCGCACTTCGGTAGACGCTCCAAGGAATTGTTTTACGCAGCCTAAATGGAATGAAAGAAGAATTAAATTAATATTATTTCCAGGAATTGAGAGAGCTATGATTTGGTAAAGTCACTCAGATCCGTTATTATGGCACTAATTATCCAAAAATACAAAATAATTATTGCATACGGCTTTCTACCTTTGATGCGTTCTTTGCGTTTGGATGTAGAGCATAAAACATTGTCTCTTTTCATTGACGTTTCGCATTAAAGTCAGACCGATTATTGCGTATACACTTACCCATTGCCGCAGTTTTCCCAAAAATGTTTAAAGAAACCCTGGAGTTGTCTGACAGGCGCATCACTAAAACAATTTTGTTTTTTATAACAGTGGGCTACCTACTTATTGTTTATCAGCATCCCTTCATAAGATTTGTTGATTTGTTTCCCCCTAATCAATTTCATTTGGACAGACCTTCACGAAGTGGCCTCAAGGGATCCGCGTGTTTTAAAAACATGGCATTAAAACTCTGAAGACAGCAAAATTTTAATCGTACATCTTTTTTATGAAGTTAAAAAAAGACATGTGTAACTTCTCTATTGATGGCGTCCAACTCCCTCCTGACTGCTGCCCTAAAAGACTGCTATCTTAGGCGGCATTTAGTAGGCCTCGGAGTATACGATGCGAAGGATAAGACGAGAGTAGAAGAAGAAGGTGGCCTTTTGAATGCTCAAGCACGGGTTCTGCGTCTCTCAATTAAAGAACAAACTAACAACAACTAACATATAACACATCAAGTGCCTTTGTAAGACACTGTGCATGTGATAAGTGAGACCAACTTCAGTACCCCTCTCCTCAACTCTCAAAGGCATTAGGAAAGTAGAGTTTAGGATTGCACACACAAAATTACATGAACCAGCCATGCTGTCTGTGTTCACCCTCCTTCACCACGATTCGTCGTCTTGACGGGCTAAAAATGTTTCCAACACCGTATGGTGAATATAAAATGGCTGCAACAAAACAAATGCATTTACTAGCATAAAGACGTATGCACGAAAGAAAAAACCCAAGGCTACATTAGAAAGAACGTAGGAATTAAAGTCTTCAATGACTTGGAGAAGCAGTCGTTCTCACACACGCTTGCGCGCAGACGTGCTGTGATTTTGCGTGCTGGTTTGACTTGCAAAAAGACATTTGCAGTGAATATTTCCTTCCCCCTACAAACACACAGTGAAAGGAGAGTACGACAAAGGACGGATGAATGTTGGAGGTTGAGGCAGAAAAGCTCACTTTCAGTCGAAGAGGCAGTGGGATATTTAACTTGTTAATTTGTTAGTTGCTTGAGTATGCAATGGAGGAAGTAAGGAAGGGTGTTTTAATGTTTTTTAGTGCAGCGTAGGGAAGAAAAGTAAAGGAGGAGGAGGAGCTAAAAATGAGAAGAGGTCAGTAGGTCATGCAGTACATTGTCTTCTCCCAAAGCGTTGTGCATGTAGAGGTGGGAGGAAAAGTGTGAGTTAATAGGTGAATGGATGTTATCAGTTGGCCTAGCAGCAATTCAACACGACCTTGTCACTTGGTGTTGTGAGCAAATTAAGGGTTTGAGAGGACGAGAGAAATAAATTAATCCAGAGCTGAGACAGTGTGTCAACGGTGAGATGTAGTTTCCCCAGCGAGGAGAAGGGGATTGTAGCAGTAGAAGATGAGGGAGAAGGCAAGTGGAGGAAACGTTGAAGTGTTGAGAACACGAATGAAGTTGG